CAGAGTCGGCTCTCTGGAATCCAGAGGAGAATTGAAAAGGCAAAGAGAATGGAGAATAGTATTTATATGGAGTTGATTGACTTTGAGAGCCAACATGTTTTTTGATAAACAAAAATATTTACCAGGTTACAAGGAAACTCATTTCTTTGTGTCTTTCATAGCTAGGTGTATAAACGCTTATCAGAGAAAGATCCTCAACTGTGATTTTTTCATCAAAACACTTGTGTTTGAATGCACTTTGGGGCCATGATTTTTAAGTGAAATGTTTATGTAACGAGTCAACAGCATCCAGATTGTCTTAATGAAATCATCTTAGGTTTACAAATTTGATATTTAAGTTTTTGCCACATAAGTCATTTCAAAATTAATTTTATGAGTATAATACTGTTTCAATCTTTAATATGCTTTTCATAGAGGAAAAAAGTTTATAAATTTTAATATTCAGTAGTAATTTCCTTTGAAAATTATGTTTTTCTTACCTTTTTTTGTGGTACTGGGGATTGAACTCAGGACCCTGTGCTTGCCAGGCAGGCACTTATATTCTACTGAGCTATGTCCCTGGCCCTAATTTTTTCTTTAAAACATATTATACATCTAAATTTCACGTCACTGTATAATTCTCTGATTTATATTTCGGTTAGAACAATTAATTCCCAACAATATTTCAGGAAATATTTTCTTTTAATTCAAATACAGGCCTACATATTGATGGACATGTAATGCTTAAATATCTGAATATTTTTTATTATTTTTACAATACTTTTGTGCTTAATGCCAGTTCTGCTCCACACTTAGGGGGTTGCACAATTAATTTTGGTAGTTATTTTTGAGGGAAAAAAGAAAATGTCCCTTATGACGAATGCTGTTTACTTCTTGTCATGAATTCTGAAGTGAAATTAAACATACCCAAGAGCTTGTGTTTCTATTTAAAAATTGAATTATTTTCATTGCAGACGTTTGGAACAGAACTCAATCAAGGTTATTCCTCCGGGAGCTTTCTCACCATATAAGAAGCTTAGAAGAATGTGAGTGACCATTATTCTAGAATATGTAGATTTTTTTTTAAACTATGCAGGTCATGACCATGCAAGGAAAAGGAATTGAGAGTTTAAGAGTTTGGCAGCTTAACTATTAAGCGGTGTCACTATGTTGCTAGTTCTATAACAATATTTTAATCTTAATAGCTAATTCACATTATTTTTAAAATTCTCTGTCATTTGATGTGTCAATTCACATAAGTGCAAATGTATGTCGTGGTCTTATGTAGGTTCTTGAGACACTGTGTTGTCAAAAACAACCTTACTTTGTTAATGCTTAGGATTTTTTCTTCTCTTTTTTCCTTCCTTATAACTTATTTATTTTTATTTTTTAACCAATTTTGCATGCTTATAGCTGGTAGCCTGAGGAAGTGATTTGAAGAGCAGCGTTGTTCAATGTAGCAACCACTGTCTAATGCCTACTATTTAGTAGAATTTTGTATTATTTCTAATGTGATTATTTTTTACTACTTGTGATTCTCTTTTTAAAAACCTTACTTTCAGCATTGGTACTAATAGGAAAAGAGCCAATAGAAACTGATTTTAAAATTGTGATTTATCTTCAAATTTAGAAGTCTGTAGATGTTTTACATTGCACATTGTACATATGCCCCAAGAGGTATAAAACCAGCACATCCAAACCATAGCAGCCCTCTCCCAGGAAACTTCAGCAGTGTCCTATTTAATGAAACCCAACCCTGTTTCTGACCACAGTGACCTGAGCAATAATCAGATCTCCGAGCTGGCACCCGACGCCTTCCAAGGCCTGCGCTCTCTCAATTCACTGTAAGTACTCCTGGCTTCACTGCAGAATTAAAGGGTCTGAGGCAAACAGTGGATGTGTGTATAAAATGTGGACACACCAAAAATACTCCTTTTACATCTTTTGGATGAATTATAAAAGACTAGCATCAATTCTTGTTCATCTTTCCTCAGTTTCATCATTTTTCTGGAGAACTATTGTGTGCTCTAAAATTAGCCAGTTTTCTTGTGTAGATGCTTTATAGTTTCATGAGTACTGTTTAGAAACCAAGTGTAAAGTCTCCTTACTGGCACTAGTTTTCTGTCTGAAATAAGGGAAATGCTTATTTTGGAGGGCTCTGGAAACTTGTATTTTTTTATCTGCTTCCCCGTAGCTGAAGTTTCAGGGACAGTGTTGTGGCTTTGAGGGTTGTGCTGGCAAAGTGTTGCTGAGGACAGGTGAGGGTGACATTTGAGAGCTAACCTGTACTTCCTGCTCATTCCTGAAGACTTCCCTAAAATAACCAGCTCCAATCTCTGAAGGAGCAAAGATAACAATGGAGTACAGCTTGTTAATGTCAAGAGGACTTTCAGAGAGATAACTATGCAAAGAAAAGATGATCTAAAGTGGATTTTAAAGGTTGCCATTCCCTGAAACTGGTAAAAAGCCTTTCAAATTCTATCAAGTGAGATAACCTGCATATCAAACTGTAAGTTTTAAAGTGAAAGCTCGCATAGGTCTTTTGGTTAAAAGGTCATGCTTCGGGGAGGGTTTTCCACTGGCGGAAGTGCCTGTTTGTCTCTTCTGGGTTGCAGAAGACAGGGTTGCTCCTGAGCACACCCAGGTGGATGCTGTGGGTGGCTGGAGCACTTTCCTCCCACTCTGACCAAAGGGGAGAACTGGAGAACAATAGGTTGCCAGACTGGTCTGCTTTTAAAACTGTAATTGTTCTTGAAGCTAGAAAATGAACAACTATCATTTGACCTCCACTAAAAGTCTGGGTTCATATTTGTTTGCTTTACTGTATTTTTACTAGAGTAAGTCCAGGGCTGGGGGAACCGTTATTGGTAGAAAGTGTTGTATGGGATTAAGTACTGCTCTCCAGGAAGACCGGCAGGGTGCTGAGTAACAGAGGTAATTGCAAAACTCAGTGGAGTCACGGAAATTGACTGCAGTGCCATGTTTATGTCCTTAAACAGTAGATGACCCAAGGAAAGAAACCTGTATGATCTCCCAGACATGAAGACAAGAAGAACAGGCAAACGATCACACCCGTTCCTATCTGTTCTCAGAGATAGCATTTACAGTGTCAAGAAGGAGACGAAGCAATGAAAAAAATCTTACTTAAATCTGCTTCCTTGACAAGTTTACTATTTGTATTTCCTTAATATTATTATTGACACTTGGGAGGATGAGAATCAAAAGACAAAAGGAAATAAAATGAACAATAAACAGAATAATCAATTATAATGTATCAGTTATCTCAATAAATTTTATTAATAAATGTTATCATCAATGATTATGCCATAAATGAATATGCAATAATGGACATAAATACAATCGTACTATAGGAAATGCCAAGAGAAATGACAGCACAGGTAAAGGATGTTCTCGGTGCTTGAGTGTCTTTGTCTCTAGGGTTGGAGCATTCACAGGTACACAGTTCTTCGAAAACCTACAGAGAAGCGGTAGACAGCATCATCTTTACTTGTGGAACTGAATCTTAACCAAGCTAAGCCACAGTGACATGACAGTTCACATCACAGCAATACACGGAAGAGGAAGAACCATTTTCCTGAAGTGTAACACAATCTTTTTATATAATATTCTATGAGGTTATGAAACAAGTAGCTGGGAAGAAACAAAATGATTGTGCTGTCGTACAGAAAGTGTGCATGTTCTAACATATGCCATTTTCTTGATTGTGTTCACAGTTTGAGTTAGTCTTCCAAAGACTAATTTCTTAAACTCTCCATATAATACCTAATTTCATGGGTTGAAAGAAGTTCTTTTCTTTTGTTGAACCACAATTAGATGGTCAACAGCAATGTGTTGGGCCCTCATTGTATGCTAGGCTTCATTGTAACCTATGGAGGTTGCAGAGGCTAAAAAAACCTTTGGAAAAATCTTTCCCCTAATGGAAGAGACCAAAAAAAGACTACATATGTTGACAAAATGTATAGTATGTCTGATGATGAAAAGTATCATCAATTAAAAAGGGAAGGGGGAAGACAGGGAATGCCATTAAAAAGAACAAACTGAAACATTGAAGAAGATACCCAAGAAAGACTTTCCTAGAAAGTTATGTGGACAAAGACTTGAAGATTGAGACTGTAGGATTGACTTATGGAAAAATGCAGACATTTGCCAGAAAAGCATTCAAGAAGGAAGAGCAGCGATGTGCTCAGACCCCGAGGCAAGCGTATGCTCAAAACTGAACGAGAAAAGTCCAATCCAGTGTGCCTGGAGAGAGGTGAATAATGTGGAACTGAAGCAGTGTGGAGGTTGCAGTTGTGGCTAACAGCAAAGTCTAGGATGCTACCTTGAGGACAGGACAGCAGTGTTCATCATAAGCTAAGGCGGCGGAGAAGAACTGTGTTGGAGGTGGTGACAGGGAACCTGGAGCTAAGGTCTGCTGTAAAAGTGACTTGGAGAAGGTAGATAATTGAAAGTAGGCAACATTTCTGCTTTATACATAAAGCAAGGTGATGCTTCTGCAAGTTTCTCTTGTACCACGTATTTTAATACTATGCCTCTCTGGAACTGTCAGATTATAGAGTCAGATTAATTTAAGATATTTGTTATAAAAGTAGAAATTCTTAAAATGGTATGATGTCAAATATCTCTACCACATTTTACCTCAAAGACAAATTTTAAATTGTTATTTAATTACACACATAGTATCTCTTACCGAAAAGTGAATTTCATTGCCAAAACTACTTAAAGGCTCTCCTATTAAATAAAAGCATCAACATTTATTCATTCCTATCAACATGAAAGTTTATTTTACCACATTTTAATATTTTGTGTACAAATAGAGTAACATAGAATGTAGTACAATATAAGAAAAACATTATGAGCAAAGTATCTTTCAGAATGTATGAATCTAGTGTATCATTTTATCCAAAGGGATTTTGTTTATGTTTCCATGACAATAATAGACTTTTTATAGAATTTGGTGACCAAGCATTTAGAGTAGTTATTAGCTGCAAACAGCTGTTATTGTTTTATAAGTTGGAAACTTCCCCTCATACTGACACTATAAAGGTATTGTAGTGGTATAAGTTTGTGCTAAGCTTATAATCCTTGGAACTGGATGGCCTGGGTCCTGAGGCCGCCTAGTCCTGGGTAGTGTGGCTAAACTTGGTACTAATTCCACTAACCTCTGTTCTCCCATCTCTAAAATGAAGATCATGTTACTCTCCTTCTGGCTTTGTTGAAACCCTAAGTGAACATCAAGAGATAATAGGAGCAGCCCTGGAAAATCTTTGTATGTGTCAATTTGAAGATTTCTGGATTTTACTTATCCTGGAATAAAGTTATGCCAAAGATTCTCAGTGTATTTTTTTCCACTTTTTCACATTTTTCTTTGTAACCACTTGAACACTTATCACCTACCATTTATTCTAATTTCTTCACCCAGATCCTTCAGAGGTCTGTAGTGCAAGACTAGACTGCTAACTGCACATTTCCTACATTCTTTTCTTTCATTGGTGTCAACTCTTACACACAGAATCTTGCATTTTACTACTGAAGTCTCCATTAAAATGAAAATGTAGTGTCTCCATTTTGTCGAGACACTGTGCTTGCTTAATAATCGCTCAATGTTACAACTCTCAAATATACTTAAGACTATTTTAAACTTATAAGAATGGTAGATTTATTTCAATAAGAGGGTCAGTCCACAGAACTTTCCCTGATAGAAGCCTTGCATATTTCTGTAACAAGCAGTTTTTCCTTCTATTGTGTTCTCTCTTCTGCAAGCTTTCACGAAAGCAGCGGAATGCCATTTGGCCTCCGGAAGTTGCGGTGTCCTTCTGTCTTAAAGTTCGCACACGTAGGGCTGAGACTGGCGTTAGCATCCTTATCCTCCTTTTAGTAGCAAAGATAACAGCAGCCTTGCAATTTTCTGTTCTTCCCAAAGACTGTGAAAAATTCTCTATCACAATAATTGCAGCTTATGAGGGGGACCCTGAACGTAAGCCATGTTGTGAACAAACCAAGGAAGTTGCCCAGTATACTTTATGATTCTTGTTATTTGTTTGTTATTTAAATGCCTCCTAGATTATTTCCATTTCAGCTGAATGAGTTTAAATTTCACAATATCTTTTTAAATTTTCTTTCCGTCTTAAAATTATAGTACAACATTTCATCGGCCTTGTTGTATGTCATGTCATCATCTGATGATATATCTGTACTTTTATTTTATTTTATTTTTGAAAAAAGATGTCACTATAGAGTTCAGGCTGGCCTGGAACACATATGGGGCCCAGACTAGTCACAAACTCACAGCAATCCTTTTGCCTCTGCCTTCCTAGTGCTAAGATTACAGGCATACGCCACTCTGCCCAATGTTTATACATCATTTTTATATATTTTGGATTTCCTTGACTATGGTGTGACTTCTCTGTTCTGGTCTTCAGCTTTTTTTTTTTTTTTAACTCATTTTCTTTTCTAACATTTTGATGCTATGGATGTTTAAGAAAAATATTATGATCTAGTATTGCTATACTTTTTTAATAAAGAAATCTCATTCTATCATATTTAGGATTTAGTACAATATTCTGTGATCTATAACCCCCATACCAGATTAAACTGATTCATTGTATTTCCTGTCTCATTGGGTGATTTCCCCACTTTTTCACCATTTATCCATTTTGTCTCATTAAAAACAAATATTTTTTATTCTTCACATAATCTTTTAAAAAAAGGAGTGACTTGGTTTTGGAAAAGAGTAGTTTTAAGACAAATATGACACCTGTCCTAATCAATCTAACTTTCATGCTATTTCAGCCAACCTTGGAAGTGAAAAAGTCCCAGATGAAAAGAACACTGAAGTTTTCACCTTTGATTTCTGGGTTTCCCACCTTTGTATGCTCTGTCTCCAGTGCGAAATATCCCCATTGTTCAGAGCTACCCCGTTGAGCTGCTCTTTCAGCCACCCACACCTTAGGCAGAGCAGTCATGTAGGGCCGGGCACATGGGCAGAAGGTGCCCATTCAAGAATACTATTTGGCTTCAACCTACTTCGGCACCACAATTAAAACCTAGCCAAGTCGCTGGCACATCCATGAATAAATGTGTTGATAAAGAAATTATTTCAAGAACACAGAATTGAACATTCCAAACTGATGCTATTTCAATCCACTCATTTGTCTCCTGTTGCCCTCTCTCTTCTTCTTAACCTCAAAACATAGTTACCCCCACTCTGGAGATTCGTAGTTACTCCCACCATGTCCCTGACAACACAGAAAACACAGAAGTCTCTCTTTCTTCTTTGATGATTTTGAATTGCTGCTTCTCTAATGCATTTACCTTTCTAAAGAATCTATACTCTCTACAAATGAAATGTTATTCTGTACTCTGAAGCCGCACCATTGGAGTCTGAATGAAGGCACTGTCTCTTCACACATATAGCACCCAGTGTTATTGATTCCCTGAGGAGCTTTCTTCATATACTGTAATACATTCTCTCTGTGACATTTTAAAAGGGGAACATTTCCCTCTCTCTGTTTTTGTGATTTTTCTTCCTTTTCAAACAGAATCCATCTACTGCTGCAGAATGTATTAATTATTTAGGTTTGCATTTCAGCTTTTGGCTGTTGATCATGACATTGTTTCTTTTCAAAAGAATGTCGCTCAGACTCCTGAAAATAATATATTTATTGCATATGGTATAAGAACAAAAATAGATGGATGAAAATTACAGCACTTCTATATGGCAAAACACTTTCCAATCAGATAGATAGATGATAGATAGATAGATAGATAGATAGATAGATAGATAGATAGATAGATAGATTGATAGATAGATAGTAATAAATCGATATATATTTATTATATAGTTATATATTATGTAGTATATATTCCATACAAAAATAATAAATGCAATAATGTCAGTATTTTGCTTTTTAAATTGTTTTACCTAACAAATCACATGCACTTATCTGTCACTTACTACCCATCAAATCTTACTTTTTGGCAAGGTAAACTAGGTATTTAACAAATCCCTATTTTTAATTTGATACTGTTTTATTCACATTAATTTCTCACTGTTAAAACTTACTTCATATTTAACATTATGTACATAAAATACTGTTCTTCTTTGATTATTTTCTCAAATTGATATCCTAAGAGTACGATATTAAGTTAACCTTTATGGAAACAGGCTCTTTGACTTTTGCAGGTGTTGCTAAAGTGTTCTACTCACTGATGATTGTATGCTTTTCTACAGATGATTCTGCCTGCCTAATGATGTGGAAACCAAATTAAATAGGCATTGGTACAGAACTGCTGTTTGTAGCTGGCCTTGTGTGGCTCTGCTTTCCACTCCATTCACTTTTTCTTGAAAGCCCTTCATTTCGCGTTTTGTCCTAATTTATTCTTCAATTTATTTCTCTTTTACATTAGTCATTTCATTTGCCAATTCAATGTTAAAGCCTCCCTGTATGCGAGGAGCTGTATTAGGCACCACGTATAATGAGGGAACTCAGTAGTGATCTTTTTATATAATGGCTACACTTAGTGTCTGAGCAAAGGTGGGTATCATGAGAGTTCATTCTGGTTTCTATTACTTTGAGCTATATATTTGCAACTTTCCCTAAGGTCATATTCCTGTTCTCTATTTTCACTGATGTTCTATTATGCAAGCATCACCATTGTATGTTTAAAATAAAAGCTTCGCCCTTATCATGTGAACTTTTCATGGTTTACTAATAATAAGAGCCCAAAGATTACCCCTTTAATGAGCAGGATTTTACATCTATTGTTATTTATTATGCATACTGTGGCCTCATTAAATATGAAAACTGTGTGTGCTCATGTGTGTACTCAAGAGCAGAAAACAATTTAATAATAAATACTCATACGAAAGGGCTGTTAAACCATGAATTAGACTTTTGTTAATCTTTCTGCATTTTTCTGTTGTTCAAATTGTACATAGTAAACATACATATGACCTGCAATCAAATAAAAACAACTTCAAATGAAGCTTTTCATTCCGCTGTAACCTTTATGAGGCCTTGAATGCCTGCTGCCTGCCCATATGCTTGAACTCCTATGTATTGGTTGAGTTTGTTATGCATGTTTGGGGTCTGACTTTTTCCTTTAAACTTTTTTTTTCAGTGTTCTCTACGGAAATAAAATCACGGAACTACCAAAAAGTTTATTTGAAGGATTGTTCTCTTTACAGCTACTGTAAGTACCTGACTGTGTGGGATCTACTGAAGCCCATATTATATTTTGTTAGTTTGCCATCTTCTAATTTCGTGGAGGAACCAGATAAATTTGAGCCAGAATGCTCTTTCATGGAAGAGACTAGGCTAGTGGTGCTAGCTTGATAATGAATATTTATTGAAGACATAACCCTTTTTATTAATTTTATTGAGAAACAACAATGAGACAGTTTCAAAACTGATTAAAAGAACAGTTACAATAATTAATTCATTGCATATTGTTGTCTTCATACGGATAACCCACTACTATTATGGACTACTGGACTATATTGGATCATTGTGCTGAAGGCATAACTCTTCTGGAATTTTCTCGGAGCCTTCTCTCTCTAGTGTCATAATACATGCTTTCTGATTGGTCTATCACTTAATGATTACATAGTCTTCCTTGGAAAAGTATATCTGTTTGATGTAACTAGTGGCTGGAAGGATATATGGTAAATGATATTTGTCAAACTTCGTCCAAAGAATTTACAGAAGCAAATGTGTTAGAATGTCTTCTCCAAACAAATCTGTGGTCTGCAGTAGGTCATTCAGACCAGACTCTGGAAACTAGTCTCTACCAGACTGTCAATGATTTCTTTGATTTTATCCCAACCAAAAGCCCACGCTGCTTAGATGAGTGTTAATGTTCATTTGTCTTGAAGGAATTCACTGTGCGTGCTACTTAGAACTCCAGATTTGACCCATGTGTTTGAATGCTTGATCATATGAAAAATAAATTTGAGGGCCAGTGATATAGCACAACAGTCTAAAGTGTCTGCGTGGGGAAGCTTAGGCAGGCTCAGGGGACCTCAGTTCTATCCCCAGCACCACATGCTGCCCCAGCCCCGCCCTCAGGGTAGGCTGAGCTGGCCAAAGAAAGAAAGAAAGAAAGAAAGAAAGAAAGAAAGAAAGAAAGAAACTTGAAGAAAGAAAACTAAGGTTAACCTAGATTCATCAAATTCTGTTTGAAACTTCACATAGAAAGGTTATTTGGGGCAGACCCTAGCCTGTATATTTCAGACACAAATATAGTTACGATGTGTCTTCTTCTCTTACTTAACTCAGAGTGTCCTGTAAATTTCTTAATTTTAAAATGTTATTTTCTCTTGGAGGAGTATTTATCTGCAGTTCTTTATTTCCTAAACACTAATTCCTAAGTCCATGATCTTCCTAAAAGGAGATTTGATTGCTTATTTAATGAATTTGTGTTCATGATTATGACCTATTACTTGTGTCTTAAAAACTACTCTGTGCAGACTCACATGTGATAGCATAGCTCACTTCCCACATATACATGCATGTACAATAGAACCAAATGTTGAAGCCTGGGGAGATAGCTCAGCAGCATAAGAGTATGCCTGGAAAGCACCCAGTCCTGAGTTTGATCCCCCATACCACTAAATAAATAAATAAATAACAAAATAATAAAACCAAATAAATGTTAACAAGACAGTGTTAGTTTTACTAAATGGAACTCACCTTCCCCATTCTCTATTTTTTCTTTTCTTTTTTTCCTTTTTTTTTTTAATTTTTATTTTGCGGAAGGGTCTACAGGGTGTTCAGGGTCTCACTTCTAGATAGGACTCATAGTGAACCACCTATGGTTTTTGGCCTCCCAAGAGCTGGGATTACAGGTGCGTGCCTGCCCAGTCTCAATTGCAATCTCAGCATGCTCTGAGGGCAGGGACGGCACAGCAGGCCTGGGGATTGAACCCCTGGCCCCAGCGCCTGCTTGCAGGTTCTTTAATTCTCTGAACTATTTGGTCGGCCCTTCCTTCCCCATTCTCTGTTGTTTTAATACTACATCATTCATTAAATATATTTTACAACAGATCTATGAGTAACAGCAAATACTGATTTTGTGAACCGATAACCTATATGAGCTTTTGCTTTTTTAGCTTTTTGCAATGAAGTCATCAAATATTGCTTCTGATTTGACAGAATCTACTCACACAACAGATTTCTTTACAAATAATAGATGTAGCCTGATTCTGTATGCGCACATGCCTACAAGTTGCCCATCTGCCGTCCATCCACGTTTCCCTCGAAAGCTCCATACAGTTGGCCCCAGATGTTCCGATCATCCCAGCTCCATCAGCCGTGAGCACTCTCCCCACATGCTTAGCTGTGGTTAACACAACAAATATGTTCACAGAATACGGAGTCTCTGTGTAGGTCAGCCTCTTCGTTATGCCACCACTATCATGTTCTGTCCTTACAAAAGGTGTCATTGTCTCTCTACAGCTAGCCAAGAACCAGGAAAAGTGCAGCATGTCAACTTTGTTTGAACAGATTACTATTAGATAGAAGAGGTAGATAAATGGAATAAATCCAAGAAATTCCTCAGGCCATGTAGATTTAAAGGGACTGCCCATAACAGAATCTGTTTGGAGCTTCTCCAGGAGCCTCACCATTGCTTTATCTTAAGTTTGTGCTTTCTACCTTCTATACTCAGTTAGCTTTTTTTGTTTGTTTGTTTAATCTTTTATTTATTTATTTGGTACAGAGTCTCACTATGCATTTGGGACCTGTAGTGATCCTCCTGGCTCAGCCTTCCCAGCACTGGGATTCCAGGCATGTGCCACCACGCTCAGGTTCGGTGGTCAGGGCATGGCTTGGGGCACTGGGGTTAGAACTCGGGTCCTTGCACTTGCCAGGCAGGTGCTTTGATTACTGAGCTATCTTCTTGGCCTTAGCTTATCAGGAAAGGAACATCTTCAACATTCCTTATACTGTGGCCCAGGGTGGAAAGTTTGGAAGATGGAGAACCCAGCAAAAAGGAGAATCATGAAAAAACTGTGTTTGTAGTATACATAGGAAAGCAAGCAAATAAAGTGGAAATATTTTGGTTAACTAAAGATACAAATTAATTTTTTTCTCTCTTTTGCCAAAAAAGAAAACATTTTCAGTATGTTAGATATGAACCATACCTAAGCCATATAGTACATATTAAATGTGTGTTAGATACTGAATGTGTGTTAAACTTCTAAGTATGAAATAAATGGTAAGAGAAAAATGTAAAACATCTAGCCTGCTTGTAGAGGGCTAAACTATTTTAAGGTCAGTACATGAATCAATGTGAAGCAGATACCAAAAGTACATGGCCCAGACAATATGTATGAAGAAGAACGTGGAGGAAGGGATGCTTTAGTTGAGGGGAAGATTTGTTCTGGAAAGAGTTGCAAGAGTATTCATTCTAAAAGACACGGTGCATTCAGAATAACCCACAAAATGATGTTTCCCAAAGTATGATCTAAGCCAGTTTCACAGAATATTGATATTTTGGCAAAAAGCGGTGTGCATAGTCTTGCTTTATATGTGAATTCGTAATGCAGGACTAGAGCTTTTAATGCCATAATTTATGTGCCTACCCTGGAGGTTCACATAGTGTCCATGCAGCAGCAAATATTTATTAAGCACCTAATATATATTATGTATTCTGATATCTTGGAAATGTCGGGGAGCAAAATAGACCAAGGTCTGTGACATCCTCTTGGAGAAGATGTGTAATGACAGCCAGTAGTGACACAATAAATGAGTAAAATCATATATGACCAAAATGAACACTAATTTTTAAAAATAGAAAAAGTAGAGGCTGCTGTGTTAGCTCAGTGGTCTAAGCACCAACCTGGCAAGGGCAGGGACCTGGGTTTCTGTCTTCAGTACTGCAGCTGTGCCAGCCCTGCCCCCAGGCACGCTGAGCAGGCCACCAAGACCAGGCTTGGTGGTGCACGCCTGTAATCCCAGTGCTGGGGAGGCTGAAACAGGACGATCACTACGAGTCTGAGCTACATAGTGAGACCCTGTACCAAATATATAGATAGATAGATAGATAGATAGATAGATAGATAGATGATAGATAGATAGATAGATGATAGATAGATAGATGATAGATAGATAGATAGATAGATAGATAGATAGATAGATAGATATTGTTTGTTTGTTTTGGTTTGATTTTTTTGTTTGTTTGTTTTGTATTTCAGAGAAGGGTCTACAGGATGTTCAGGGTCTCACTACTAGATCGCACTCTTAGTGATCTGCCTGTTTACAGCCTCCCAAGAGCTGGGATTACAGGCGAGCATCAGCACGCCCAGTCTCAGCTGCCTTCTCAGCACGGCCTGGGGGCAGGGCTGGCCCAGCAGGCCTGGGGATCGAACCCCAGCCCCTGCATCTGCTTACAGGTGATTTAATCTGCTGAGCTATTTGACCGGCCCTGTTCTGAATATATTTTTTTAAAAATGGAAAAAGTAAGTTAAATAAAAGGAATTCCTAATTCTGGAGGCTACAGGAGAAAGAGACATACCACATAAGTGAAAGAGACTGCCCAGGCTGGGCTGACAAGGGTGAGTGAGGCCATGGCGGGAAGCAGTGGGCCGAGCCAGCCAGCACTGGGGGTGACATGGTTGTGCAGCCAGAGGACAGCAGAGTCTGGCGTGTTGGAAAAGCAGCAAGTAAGTCAGCACAAGCGGGCCAGAAGAGCCAGGCAGCTTTGTCCCTGTTCTGTTTCCCAACCATACGTTTGTACACACAAGATGGGCAAGGCAATGATCCTGAGAAACATCAGCAGGGTTTTGAAACTAGCAGTTAATTGGTAGGATTCTCACCCTGACTAACTATATATGCTGATACCTATGAACCAAGCAACTGCACTGAAGATGGCATTGTGTAATAGAAGGGTCACTCTTGGAATGCCTGTCATTCTGGTCTTCTAAATACATACTTCTTTTGACATACCAATGATTACCATAATGTCTCACTTGTTTTTTTTTTTTTTTTAAATGGGTAATAAATGAAAAAAAAAAAAAGACAAGAAAAAGAAAAAAAAGTCACAGGACTGTCCTGATACCTTGTTGTATATGGTTAGATTTCTAAATTTCTGTGTAAAAATATGTGCATATTCCTATTTTAAAAATTTTTTCTTCATATTCTGTAAGGACTTAAAGTTCAACACATCAATATTTGATGGAAAATACTTGTTCCACATTATGCCTAAGATGTTTGTTATTTAGACAGATAGTTAGGGTAAACCGAACTGCATATGTTGCAGGTTAATAATAAGCTTCTCTTCTGGAGGGTTAACAACCTAAGTTTTCAGATCAAAAAGTGGAGAAAAGGAAGGGCTGCAAGGTCAGCCAACATTTTAGTCCTCGTCTTTCAAGGTCAGTGAAGACTCAGGACATAGGAGAACCTGTACCATAACATCATGTAACTCAGTTGTGCCCCAAATTTTCTGATCAAGGAGATTATGGAGCCACCGAGGAATATGATCGATGATGTATAGTGTGCCTAAGGAGAGTCACCTGGAGATAAAATTTTCTCTCAGGTTCTCACAGAGAGAAAATTAGCCAAGCAATGGCCGTGACTCATCCACATGGCTGACACTGACAAAGGATCTGCAAACTGTGGTACAGGGTTGCAGGATAAATCCTGAGGGTACTCGACTGACCTTATCAGATACAAAAGTTATATTTCTTGTTATACAGGTCTTACTTTATCTTGGTCTTGACCATCCAGCAGAAAAGTGTAAAAACAAGGTATATAAAGTAAAGCCATATTAATATGCTGAGCTGTGAAAGGCTGAAGTCAACAGCTTCTGCAGATAACCTACTACTATTGTGGACTACTGGACTGTGTTGAATTGCTTGGATGAATTCAAGCACCTATAGTATTTAGATGCCAATAGAATACCTGTCTCTGACAGGACTAAACAAAAAGGGGATACAAAGGAAGGACCATTTTGTATTTGTATATACAGAATAGTTAGGATAGATATACAGGTACTTTTGCTTAATTCAGTGAGAAGACAACTTGTAGTAACAGTGTTTGGACAAGATATCCTGTATACTTCTTTTACTATGGATAACTACTAAGAAAATAACAATATACAATGTATTACTTATTGAAAATGTCCCATTAATCAGCTTTGAAACTGTCTCATTGATATTTATTTCTCAACAAAATATAATACAAAAAAATTTCAATCCCCAGTTCCGAAAAAAAAAAAAAAAAAAAAACCAGCCAGGCAGAGCAGAGCCCCAGGATGCTTCACACCTCCCAAGTGTGGACTGCAGCTGCACACTGGGGGCTGCAGGGTTTAGGGATAAGTTTGGCTTCTGTACTCAGCCAATGAGAAGCTGTTGTAGGGCCCTAAGAGACGGGTGGTGTGGTTCGGTGCATAGATGCTAGCTATTTTCAAAATAGATTGAGCTTTTTCAAAAACCAGCATGAAGGACTAATAACTAAGCTATTTTACAGTGTCCTCAAGGACAGGGACTGAGCCTTCACCACCCTCATGTGTTGTTCTATGTCAGCACCTTCCTGAGTGCATAGTTAATATTTTGTTGAATTCATGTCTAAGGACTGCTGGATTTAGTCTAGTTTTACCCGACTACGTGACTTTTGCTTTCTCCTCTAAGCTGCAAATCTGCAACCTGTAAAATCAAAATTATTACTAAAGTTAAAATGCTAGTGTTGTTGTTAAAAAAAGACATACATGTCTTGATTGGGTTTTCTCAAGAAAGAAAAAATCTTGCAGGTGAGTTAAAGGGATGCTACACTTTAATTTTGCAACTATTTGATCAAACAGATTATTGAATGCCAACAAGATAAACTGCCTTCGGGTAGATGCTTTTCAGGATCTCCACAACTTGAACCTTCTCTCCTTATATGACAACAAGCTTCAGACCATTGCCAAGGGGACCTTCTCACCTCTCCGTGCCATTCAAACAATGTATGTATACACGATCTGGATCTAATTCAGTTAGCACTGTTTTCGTTGTTTCTTTCTTTTTTTTTTTTTTTCCTGAATGTGCGAGTTGAACCCAATGCAACCGTATTTAAAACTGTTCTGTGTTTCTGCAAGGCATCTGGCCCAGAACCCCTTTATCTGTGACTGCCACCTCAAGTGGCTGGCGGATTATCTCCACACCAACCCCATTGAGACCAGTGGTGCCCGTTGTACCAGCCCCCGCCGCCTGGCAAACAAAAGAATTGGACAGATCAAAAGCAAGAAGTTCCGTTGTTCAGGTAATTTCTCACCTCCCAGGACACTTCCCTGTGACAGAAGCAACCGTGGTGATATGAGGTGTACCAAGAGCTGTGGCTGACTCCCGCACTTCGGAGAATCATATTTCTTTCTCTTTTGCTTACACAGGACAAGAGTAAAAAATAAATAAACAAACGGGACTTCTAGACCCACCTATCATAGTGCTTCCGTGTATAACATTTTTAATACCGTATTTAAAGGAAGAAATAGGATACTAAGTGAAAAAGATGCCTGCATGCTTTGCAGTATTTTGAGAAAGTTTGACCATAACGAAAGCCTTGTAGACAACTCAAAAATGCTTTTAAAATATGGGGAGATCTATGTTCATTACATTATTTTCTATTAGCTAAGTTTATAGTACTAAAATAATCAACCATGTTTTCATTTTTTCTGAAAGTGAGTGGAAACTTGGTTTTGTGGCTTGAGCAGGCTCCAAAGCGGGAGGAGAAAAATAAGTCCCCCTATGCATTTTCCTCTCCCTGAGTACACTTCAGTGATTTGCATTCTCTTATTTTGAATAAATCTCTGAGGATTCACTTTTCCCAACAGGCCATCTTTCTACATTTTGATAACATTAGCTTTGTCTAAAAAAAAAAAAAAAAAAAAGCTAAATATATGAATTGTGTTATTAAAAATAAAATGCTTACTTTATTGAAATATACTCCTTGCTTTGTTATAATTTTTCTAAGTTCTGATGATAGACGGTGTTCTTTGTATTGCTGGTAATATGCTGCCTAACTATTTCAGGCCTATTTCACATGCAGCAGTTAATTCATACTAAAAAGCTAATATCCACAACAGGCTGGTTATTGTCCACTATTGTAAATGCACTGACTAGTCATTGAACATTATTATACTTCAGCCGCTGCTGTGAATATACATTTTTCACTTAGTTATCTATAGTAACTTTAGTCCATTCTGATTCTAATATAGCTCATTTCTCTACTTGTTGACATTCAGGTGCATCTTCTATTTTTTTCTCTTTTTTTATTTAGCTAAAGAACAGTATTTCATTCCAGGTAGGTTTTGCTCGTTGGTAGGACTAACTGCAAACACCCTTTCCTCACCTTTTGAAATATCACTCCTAAAACTGATATGCATGCTTTTGAAAGTACAGTGGGTCCTCTCTAGATAGACTGACTGATGTGTAGATCACTTGTAGCTGTTTCCTGAAAACCTGACCTCTGCATGCAGCTTCTGATGTTAAACATATTTATTATTAAACTCCCACCCTCTTTTCTCTTCCTTTCACTCTGGCACATTATCTGCAATTTCTCACAGTAGCTAAAGTGTTTGAACCAATGGCTTTCTCCTGAAATCATTTTTTTTCTCCTTACATTGTATATCTGATCTTTTCAGCCTGTTTTTAAAATTTAGCTTACCAAGCTAGTTTTAAAGACAGAGGCCTTTCTATTGTCAAAGAGCTAATTCTACATGAAATCAGTGTGAACACAGAAAATTGCATTTTCAGCAGGAGAATGTTGAGTCATTTTATATTTAAAAATTGTATGCTTTTCTTTTGCTCCATTTTATACAAAGAGCTGCTTCGTGCTGGTTTGAATACCCTCGTTCCTTATTTGTTTATAACTGTACAGTCTTGCAAACCCAGACTTGGAATATGATGCCACAAAGAGATTACTGATGTCCACCTTGAAAGCATTAGGAAGCTCATAAGCCCTAAATGCCTTGAATAATTTAGGCAGATGGGCAAAATGCTTCTAAGAATAATGATTACAGTCTTGTATTATTTCAATCTTAACACTCTCAAGACTGATGATTCTAGAGCTAGCTCTTTAAAATATGTTCTTTCACTTATCTTTTTCCTTGCCTGCCAGTTGTGTTAAATGCCTTTTGATTGTTTTAAACCTTTATATAAAAGTACATGTTAAATATTGATTGGCTGCATTAACCTTTCCCGGTTATATTCTAGACTATCCTATATCTTAAAAACTATACATAAAATATTTCTAAAATATTTCTTTGTAAAATCATACTTATTTGCTTACGAAGGGCTTTCAGTTCGGTCTCTATATTAAGGAGATACTTGTTGGCTGTCATTACTCAGCTATATTCTAAATAATTTCATCCATTTAACAGATTGAGTTCTATTTAACAGATCTAATAATATGACTAAATTTACATTCTGTGGAGTGTAAATGATTAAATAATATTTTACATATTTTATTTCCCAATGAAATAAACAACATGTTTTAAAAAAATAGTTGATTTGCCTTCATTGGCAAGATTTAAAATTTACTGGTCTTTACCAATTGTTAACTAGAAAGTCATCCAAGAGCCATTATTTAACTGAAAAATGCTATATTCTAAACATCAGATCATTCACAGAAGAATAATACATCAATATAATTTAAATCCTAAGATTACAACACTTAAATAATTATTGAAAAATTGTTCAAACTATTGTATTTAAATACATCTTACCAAAAATTTGGAAACCAGTATTTCCCACTCACCAAGTACCAAACAAAATTGAGGCGCATAACAAATGTTCTAATACAGCTTTCCTATCCTATTAGCAGGTAGGGACCAAAGTAGATTTGACATACACACTTTCCTTCTGATATCAATTGATAATTTTCAATTCCTAATACTTTATGTTATTTAAATTAATAATAAAATTCAGACTAGCAGAATTCTTTGAGCTTCATTTTCCCTATTATTCCCAAAGTTTACATTATAATTTTGATATATCTAATAAACTATTACAAATCATCATTGTTTTCATAGTATGGCTAAGATTATCTGAATATATTCAATGAGCCTATCACTAGATTTCATTATCATTGTAACCTTATTTCACTTTACACTAATACTGAAGGCACAAGAAAACAGAGCCTCAATAATTACTATGGCATTAATTGCCAAATATAATCTAACAATTATATCTGGCATTGCAAACTTCCAGTGAATTCTGATCCTGTTCTCCCATGTGGCATTATTTGTAAATTGGAAAGATCATTCAGAAGCACTGTAAACTACCTCAGGATTATTCAAATGTTTCAATGATAGTCCTTGAGGATCTGGATGATTAATTTTTATTCACTTTTACGTGTGTACTTGTCTACTACCATTCCATGTGGCACTCCAAATATTACAGTCATAACTCAAAAGAAAATGTGCCTTGCCAAGAGTCCATTTTTTGAAGAAATTGACAAGAACTTAATTTGTCCTATGCATCTTGTATGCCATTGCTCATCCTTTAAAGCTATCATGCTTTCAACAAGTTACTGTGAATTTTACAAAGCATGACAAATCCCATCACGCCATGCTGTCCCCTATAATTGCCATGATAGAGGAGAGAGGGAGCATAGTCTGATGCCGTATGTATGTCTGTTAACCTTAATTGGGATTACTCTTTCTTTCTTTCCTTCTTGGTGATCTTTACTTTTGCAGGAATTCACCATCGGGGCTGTAAGTAAAAGTGTCTGATCTGAAATACAATGTTCTCCCTTTTCAATCCTGATGTACCTTCTTCTAGTCTTGGTCTCTTACACCTAATTTTCAAGAAGAAACCACAGATCTTTTGAGCTTCTCTGTTGTCCTTGTAGCCCACCTTCAACTTCTTTCGATGTCCTTCCCGAGTGCTGTGGTGTCCCTTCTGCAGTTCTGAGGAACGGCGGAGGCACCTTCAGTATAGTCCCTTTCTTATGTTTCCAGGAAATCTTCGGTAGTAATACACTTACTGTGGTCGTAAACATTCTGCGGGAGGATGCATGCCACGTAAACAGCACTGCATTCCAGAACGTCTGTAGCTTTTCTCCTACCTCCCTTCATCTCTCCTCTTGGTCTCCCCTCTGGCCTAGTGGTTGGTGTAGTGATTATGTAGCGAGATTTTCTGTTGTGCTTGATCTAACCATGTGGTTGCGAGGTATGAGTAAAACATGGTTCCGTCAAGCACCATGGAACGTCACGCAGCTTTCTACAGCATGACAAGCTGCTGAGGCTCAAGTCAGGATTAACTTGTCTTTTGCACAAAATCAAAATGAAAAAGAGGGCTTTTTAGGCATTTCTGAAGATTATGTGAGAGGGAGAGAATAATAAAAGCCCACAGAAAATTTAAAAAACTGAGAATATCTATTTGCCTTGAAAGCCCTAATTTATAATGATATCCAGGAATATGTTTATTACTGAATAATTTTCAATTCTTGATCCAGAAAAAAAAATAAAGTTTTAAGAATTAATAGCCATTGTGAGATTAGCTGTGTAATAGGCTAGAATGGCTCAGAACCAGATCAGCAGAAAGTACAGCTGTGAAAAGCTCAACTTTATTAATGTTTTCCTGTTGTGTGAATCTGGTCATTCTTTTTTTCCAGAAAATTACAAGCCTTTCTTTTAACCCTCTCTTGACATCTATTGACCAAAATTCCCTAAGTTGTCTCCCTGCTGCATAATCTATAGTTATCTTATTTTTTCCTTCCTACAACTTCATAAATATTCGAATCTTTACACTCAGTATCTTTCTCTTTGGCTTGAATTCTCAATAGGTACAGAAGATTATCGATCAAAATTAAGTGGAGACTGCTTCGCAGACTTGGCTTGCCCTGAAAAGTGCCGCTGCGAAGGAACCACAGTAGATTGCTCCAATCAAAAACTCAACAAAATCCCTGATCATATTCCCCAGTACACTGCAGAGCTGTAAGTGCATCCTGCCTCAAAGTCCCGACTGGGAAAGGGGAAGTGAAAACATCAAGGCATAGGAAATTTCATCTTGCCACTGTTACTCTCGATAATCACATTAACTAGTGCATGTGGCATTGATGTACCTCTTCTGTGTGCAAGACTGTATTACAGACCATCTTAGTTCATTGTTCTAGCTGAAGATACAATTAAAAATTAATTTAACTCTCAGGATTCAATTGGGACTTAAGAATGCTGATAATAATAGTGACTATTTGATTCATATTTATTATGTATTTTTCCCAAAATTCATTGTAATCACTTAATAGATTTTTTTAAGTATTTAATGCATACTTAACAACCCAGTAAAGTAGTTTGAAATTCACCATTTATAAATCTAGCCAGGGAGTCTTTTTATTATCTACTTTATTTCTTCTTCGACTCACAAAAAAGAATTTAATGATTGTCAGTTATGAAAATGCTAAGGGTAATTATTATTGTGGCTTTTTTTTTGCTGGACAATGGATAGCATAATAGGGAAACCCAAAGGGTGAATACGATCACATTCAGACTTACAAGCCTTACATAGAAGCTAGCGTGTATAAGTGCTAAAATTATTTGTGGGATCTTTGCAGATTCCACAAATCTTGGCTTATATATGGTTTGCCTTTATTGACTTTGTTTATGAAAGCAAGAGCTTCAGTGTTAGTGTTCTACAAATTCAAGGAAAACCTAGTGACATCCCATTCTGTGTATGCTTTAGCACTCCTCATGTATGGCGCCATCTGGCAACTGTCATTTACTGCTTTGCAAAGTTGCTTTACTCTCTGTGTGTATAATCCTTCTGTCTTCAGCTGGATTATAGCTCCGTGATGGTAGGGAATGTGTGCTATGGTTTATCTCCCACTGTGCCTATACACATGTCTGTTACCTAATTAATTTTAAGCGAGTTGATTAATTAAAAATAAAGTTATGCCTTTCAAAGCACAGACTGAAACTCGGTCCTTTGTGATTACAGTTATTGTTTTTATATCTGTTTGTTCATGAAGCTATTTAATAACTAGAGGATTTTTAGAAATGCATAGAGATCATACAACAGAAGTGCTGAACCCCTCTGAAACTGTGGTGTGGAGACATATTTATTTCTAATAATGTTACAAAGAGCAAATGATGTCGCTCAGCATGCTAATGCCTTAAATAAGCTTATTTGTCAAAAATTACAGTTGAAACTAATTTCCTTTTTTATGAGCAGAATACATTTATTGGGATAAAGAAAGCTCCTGTCTGAGAGAGGGACAGGAGGGGGGACCCGTGAGTGGGTGGACCCCCAAAACTAACTTCTAATGTATATTTCAGCACAATGTTTAGCATGTCTCTATAAAATTAATATTTTGTTAATTATGAATGTAAAGTCATTACTCAGAAGAATCTATTTACAAATCATGCATCCAATAAGCAATTTATATATAAAGTATGGGAGACACTCTGACAATTACACAATAAAAGATATATTACATAAGTTATCTTTATGTTATACATAGTCCTTCAAAGGTATACTGAGGCACACTAGACATGAAAAGTCCTTTGACATAGTCATTTGAAAAATGCAAATTGGGGCCGGGGGATAGCTCAGTGGAATAAGCGCTTGCCTGGCAAGCTCAAGGGCTTGAGTTCAATCCCTGGTTCTGCCAAAAAAGAAAAAAGAGAAAAAAATGCAAATTAACACTACAATGAGATACCAAGATACACTCATTGAAATACCTATGAAATAAAAGAGGAGCAATAGTAAGAGGGAGAAATTGGGGTATTCATACATTGATGATGTGAGTGTAAATTAGTATAGCCTTTGTGAGAAACAGTTTGTATATCCTTCCAAATGTTGAACATAGATTTGTCATGTGAGCCAACAACTCCGGCATAAGTATACTTTCAAAAGAACTAAAAATAATGTATCTAGACAAAAGCTTTCATATCAATATCCATAGTAAAAGTTTTCATAACACTTATAAAGCAGGACAGAAATGTCCATAAACTGATCAAAAGATCAATAAATGTGGTGTTTGTATATAATGATTCAATGATAAAAATAACCAAGCAGTGATGTATTCTACAACATTAACAAACATTAGGAACATCATACAAAGTGAAGAAAGGTAGCTACACAGCTACTTTTAAATGGTCCCATTTCTATGGAATGCCAAGGGTGGGAAAAACAGCAAGTTAGGGACCATCGCCAGAGTGCATTGTGGGGGTTGAGGGTGTCAAGGCAGTACCTGGTGGTAATTATGAAGTTTCTATTGGAGGGTGATGAAAATATTCTGGAATTAGATAGCAGAGGTGGCTCCACAGTAAATACACTGATGTCTTTTAAATTGTACACTTCAAAGGGGTGAATTTTATGAGATTTGATTTATATTTCAACAAATCTGCAAATTAAAAAAAATTGTAGAGCAAGTGATTTTGAAAAAATGCTTAAAAACATTTCCTGCATGAGAAAAAGTGAGAAAATATTGGTGAAATGTTATTCTAGAGTTTACCGCATTAGAGAGAATTGGTTTTGATTGTTAGTCTTCCATACTGTGTGGCTCTTAATATATTTTATTTTATAATTAAAATTTGAGAGAAATGCAAAAAATATTGGTACTGACCATAAATCCTCTGTGATATTTGTACTGTATTTTACTTTAGAGTTATCATTAATTAATGTTATAATTCATCTGTTAAATGAATTGCAATCCCTTTGTAACTCCTAGTAATGAAACATCCTGTTCTTTCTTTTTCTCCAGGCGTCTCAATAATAATGAATTTACAGTGTTGGAAGCCACAGGAATCTTTAAGAAGCTTCCTCAGTTACGTAAGATGTAAGTCATTTGTCTGCAATCTTTTCAATTTCCCTGGTGTTTTCTTGTGCTTTTTCCTTTCTCCTTAAAGTTTAGCTAAGTATCTTTGGGAAATTGGAAAATACAGAAAAGCCGGGGAAATTTCCACCCCACAACTACTCAAGATACGAACATAGAGTGCTGTCTGAAAGGAGCATTTCCCTGTGGTCAGAAGGTGCCAGCCAGAGCCCCTGTACCTCACTCCCATGCAGACAGCTGGTCTGCGATGATGTGGCCACAGCCGGCACCCAGAAACCTAAGCACATTAAAACGGGTTTGGGGATGTTTGCGACTTCCTTTACTTATTCCCCCAACCATGCTGTTATTTCTCTTCCAGCCCATTCGTGTCAACTGTTTGACTTTTTGCTTCATTAAACTTTCATTAGAAGATAGTCAGAATTAATGATTGGTAAACTGACTTGATAGCTCTTCTGTGTTCATACATGTCCACAACTCATATTTTAAACTCTGTTCCTAAACTCAGCAATTTCAACAAACTTTGTGTTCTTCACCCCTCAAGAGGAGTAAGGGAGGAAAAGGGAGGACATGCGTGTAAGGACGAGGAAGCCCCTCCACGCAACAGGAAGTGTTTGGGGGAGACGTTTTCTTCCACAGTGTCTGTGTACAAACAGGCACAACAGGCCCACGGTCTCTCAGACTCCTAAGTAGCACAACAGACTGAATTTGCCTGTGTACTTCATCTCTATGTTACATCCAAATATTTTCTAATTTGGGCCAACGATATAGCTCAGCTCAGCTGTGTAAGTGCCTGCCTGGCAAGCACAAGGCCCTGAGTTCAATCCCTGGTACCGGAAAAAAAAAAAAAAAGCTCAATGTTGCAACCAAATAAAGTTCAGAGATGCAGCTAAATATTTTCTAATTCTTGATTTTTCTTCCTTTTCACAGATTACTAAGTGCACTTTCTTTTTAGCTTTGATATGCCTTTTAATGCAGCAGTTATTGAACAAACACTTTGAATATGACTTTGAGAGCATAGATGGTACATAAAATTTATCTTGTTTATAGGGCACTTAAGGTCTTGGAATGAAGAGTGAAAAATAAAAAAAAAGAGCCCAGATTGGACATTCTTGCTCTCTGCGCAATCACTGTCCTTGTGGGCAGGAATTGAACTATTTGATTTTATACAAAATACTGACAGATAAATTGGTTGTCTTAACACAATATAACTCAAGGAGTTTAATCTAAATAAATCTATATTTGAACACATCTCTGATGCTATCTAAGATCTAATGCATTTTAATCTAGCCCCTCTATTTGGTTGCCTCTTTTAGCCTTTAATTTATTTTACAGTTTTAACCAGGTACCTTTCTTGGGAAAGTTCTTTATTAAATTTTAGAGAGGTCATAAGAATTCATGAAACCTATTACCTGGCCCCAAGTATGTTATGTCCCTTGGGACCTTTACAGATCTTCTTGGCAACCATTAGGATCGTACCTCTTGCCACAGGTATTCCCTCTGGCTTTAATGTCCCTTTCATTTCATAGAACAGGAGAGGGGTGTCTTTTCACAGCTCCCGCCATGCGGGTCAGCAATATACTAGAGGAGTGTGGAAGACTTCGTTCCGTTAAAGAAAATAACATTGACTATTGTTTTCATGTCCTCTTTTAGAGAAAGGAACTGTTGATAACCTTTGTTTCAACCATTTCCACTTAGCAATTTTAGCAACAATAAGATTACAGATATTGAGGAGGGAGCATTCGAAGGCGCATCTGGAGTGAATGAAATACTTTTCACCAGTAACCGCTTGGAAAACGTTCAGCATAAGATGTTCAAGGGATTGGAAAGCCTCAAAACTCTGTGAGTGCTCTGCTTTGCACTGTAATCTGCCAACAGACTGGGAGGTACTGTGCTCCACACCAGGGAAGCATGTGACTGCTCCTATTCCGTCCATACATCTTTCCATCTCTCTCTCTTTTCCTCTCTTTCTCCATACTCTCTTGAACACACACACACACACACACACACACACACACACACCCCTTTCGGGATGGCAAAGCCCCTTGTTCTTCTGTTGGTTACCAAGAGACCCCTTCCAGACTATTGTCACCTCAACAAAACACATCCACTTGTTCCAGAGCTTGCATTGACCTGGCTTTCCTATTCTACCTTGGTGATCATTCTTTCTCTTTTCTTCAAAAGCTTCCACCTTTTACTCACTTCTGGCACAAGGAGTGAAAATTTCAAAATCAACACTAACTCTTGAAACCTCGGTTTCACACAGCTACCCAGAGATTGTATTTGTCCACCTCGAGGCACAAGGTCTTAGTGAAAAGCAGCAATGGCTAGCAGTCCATCCTTTAATATTTATTTTGGAGAAAACATACTGAATTTTTTCCACATGTCCAGGACAGGGAGATTCTCCATGTTTTCAAAGGGCTGTTGGCTAAGGAAGACGGGAATTACATTGAACATTAAGCAGAGCAGTTTTGGAGACCCGGATTCTCTACAATGTGTATGCATTTCCATTATTTTTAAAGTATGTAAGCATGTTTAACAAAAGCAGTAGACTAAGGGTAAGAAAGACAATTCTGCAGATTTTGGAGGACATGAAGAAAACTACATGAGCAAGAAGCAGCTATTGGTGATTCCAGAGCCCTCTCTCCTCTAGACTTGGAAAGCCACCTACAACCAGGTGACTGATAGCCTCAGAACCAGAAAGTCCATTGCTGGTCTTCAAAGGAAGACCAGGGACATTAGCAGTGACCCTAAAATTAGGATGTGTTAATAGCATCATAAGTTCAAACCCAGTAAAAGGATTGAAATGTATGTTCCTCGGGCTTCTTAGAAAGCCAGTGATGGCACAGGTTTCAGAGCTTTTAATGATACAAGTAACCTATGGTTGCTTGTATGCCATCACTGGCCTAGATCCTAACCACCCAGCAGTACACCATGAGGCCTGAAGATCCCTCCCATGGGCTAGCTGATGGCCCCTCCAAAATGACATGTAAATGTTTCCTCCATTCTTCTGTTGCAAGAAATACTTGGGAGGGGAAGAGCTCACAGAAGGTAGAACTTAGCAAGCTCTGTTTCCTCTTCCCCTAAGCTGCCCTAGTAAACTCAGCACAACGAACATCCTACAACAAGCAGAGGCTTCCCTTCTTTCCCAGTAGTTGAGCTACTATTTGTTGTTACTGGAGTTTCTACCCTGATGAAGCAACACTGTGGAGAAGAATGGGAAATTATAAATGCATATGTGTTGGTCTACTCCAGCTGCCATAACCAGAACCTCAGATTGGGGGGCTCAGCCACAGCGATGTATTCCTCATACTTCTGGAGGTGGGAAGTTCAAGATGAGTTTGCCAAGAGAGTGGGCTTGTGGTGAAGCTATGTACTTGACCTGTAGAGGTCATCTTCCTGCTGTCTCCTCACAAGTCTTTTTTTTTCCCATAATTTTATTGATAAACAAATAGGAATGAGACAGTTGCAAACCAAATTGGTAGGACAGTTTCAATAATTAACACATTGCATACATTCTTCCTAGTGGTTAAGTGCTGTACAAGATGCAGACATGCTATCCTATTTACAAACACTATTACAACAAATCCTTCTATTCATTAAGAGAATATAACTATCTATCTATCCTAACCATTTTGAATACACAGATACAGAATGGACATTCATCTGTATACCCTTTTTTTTTTGTTAAGTTACGTTATTTGAATATTATAGGTGTGTAAACTCAGCAAAATATTCTAAAAGAGTCCAGTAGCCCATAATAGTATTGGGTCTTCCTCTTGACTGGCAGTGTCAGAAATTGTTGACCTGAGTCCCCTACAGCTCAATGTAACAGCATGGCTTTACTTATACTTCGTTTTTATACTTTTCTGCTGGATGGATAAGACCAAGGTAAAGCAGGACCTATGCAACAAGAGTTGTAGCTCACAGGTCTTTTGGTCTGGTGAGCAGGTAGAATTAATGAGAGAATTCACAGAGCTCTCTAGTGTCTCTTCCCCTTTTAAGGTAGCTGGTATTATCAGAATGGGTCGCATTCCGAGGAGTTCAGTGAGCCTTAATTGCCTTCCCAATGTTCTCTCCATATAGAGCCATGCTGGGGAGTAACATCTTCCAGCTGTGTGTATGGGGGATGCAGTACACAGTACGAGCCCAAAGAACTTCTTTCTTCTGACTAGTTATGGTCACAAAACTTTCCCTGAGAGGACTAGTCCAGATTCAGCGTTCTCCTTTCATTTTATTTCTGTTGATGTTTTGTACTATTTATGTGTTAGTGCCTGGAACAGGACACGTGGCTCACTCCTTAATCCAGTTTTGGCATGACAAACCAAACAAAGCAATCTAGTGCCAAAGTTGGTGTATTCCAGTTCTATAGGAGGTTTTTCTAGAACTATCTTTTCTCTTCCCATGATGCCATTCATCTCCCAGCTTTAAAGATTTTGACCAGACTTCTTCACCTCAGAGACCACTGCATGGTCCATGTACATACATCAGGCAGTCTTAGAAACCCTGGCGCTTTAGACCAAGCAGGATGCATGTGTGTGCATATGGAGCTTTCCATCAACAGAAGGTGAAGTTCTACAATTTCTCCCAGCAGTCTGTGACTGCAACAAGAATAAAACCAAGTATAAACTACAACGTATAAAAAGGAAAAGTACTAAAATGGACACTTCCCTATTGTATCTGTTTCTTAACACAAAACTGATGTCTCACTAAGGAAGTTACATCCTTTTTTCTTACCTTTGGCTTAGCCAGATGCAACAGTTATATTCCTCACTTATTACAGGGTGATCTAGAATTTTTAAAGCAACACTTACCAATTTTAAAGTAACACATTATTGAAAGCATTAACTGATCTGGATGTATAGATGTGGTTTAAGGAAACTACATTTCATGTGAGAGTCTAGAGGTACTTTTGTATGTTTCTGTGGCTCACAATTAAACATCGCAAAAAAGAATCATGAGCTTAATCCAGGTAGTGGCAATATCTAAAAAACAGTTTCCTCAAGGTAAATCTATTTAAACTTCATGTACACAATTTGAATCTATTACGCTTACCTCTTCGGGAGTTTCTGAATTTAAAAATAAATAAATAAATTTTCATATATAGAGTGATCTGCACAAACTTTGTGGGTACCCAGTCACGTTGGGCTTCCCAGAATCCCGCTTGCTATCGGCAGTCTCTTACGTCCCTGAGATGCCCTGAGCTCTCCCTCTGCAGCAGCTATCGATTCTTCGCTCTATCCTTTCTGTTCAACCTCAAATGTCATACTGGCCTGAATACACAAATCACAGGGCTACAAGGACACAGCGTGCTGTAGGTGAATGGGGTAGGACACTATGCACCCATGCAAACACAGTTATAGCACCAGGAAACAGACCCTTCTTACCACATCCTGGGCCTGTAAATCCAGCAGACTCACTAATGTCTTCTGCACCTCAGTTTAATCACGGATGATGTGGAGCATTCTGCTCTTACAACGTGTTGTCAGTGCGTGGCAATTTCTAAGGTCAGAAGAACATTCAAAAACAGGTCGAGACTGCATAGTTGAAAAGGATTATTTGCTTTCTGAACAGACAATATTGATTGCCTGATGCTTTATTTCCATAACAATGTCTGTGTTTTTTTCTTCCCCAGGATGTTGCGAAGTAATCGAATAAGCTGTGTAGGAAATGACAGCTTCATAGGACTCAGTTCTGTGCGTTTGCTTTCTCTGTATGATAATCAGATCACTACAATTGCACCTGGGGCATTTGATACTCTCCATTCTTTATCTACTCTGTAAGTATAAAATGTAGTCGGTGCATTATATTTCTTCTTACTAAAATTATTATAATATATTGTTAGATATTTCATAAAAATGTGGTTTAGTAGCCAGGTGTTCTTAAAATGACAGATTTATTCATGCCAAGTTTATTTTAATTTCTTTAAAACTATTGCCTACTATCTGACATTAAATTTTAAATAAAATTATGCAAATTTTTCAGTCAGTATTTTTTTTTAGGGTAATGGTCTCAATGATGTGGCCTAATTTCTAAACTTAAAGTTATATTTTGTAACTTGAAAGTGCTGGAAATAAATGAAGTGTTGTATTTGTTCACATTGAAGTATTTCAGTGTAAATAATCATAGAAACATTTGACAGAGTTCTTGCCAAAAAGCTATGCTCACTCGCAATGACAAGAGACACAGTAAGATGGTAACCAGGCCAACATAAAGCACGTTTACCAGAGGCCATTAACAGTGACAGTAGTAGGAGAATATGAAAGCAATAGGTTGAGCCCATCGAAGAAGTGTCAACACACGCCTTTCTAAACAGTATATTTCAGGCCTTTTGTATGTCGGTATATGAAAAGCAGTGCTTGGAATTATGACTATTATAAAGGATGCTTTCCTGGTCAGGGTGGCTTTCAGGCAGGCTAGTCTGAACCAATATGAGCGGGATAAAAACAAAAAAATCACATTGTGCTTAGCATACCTCAAGTCATTGTAGAAACGCTTTGAAGGGAGCGTCCATCCATCAGGAAAGCACTTAATCCTTTTCCACATGAAATGTGACACTTTACATAGGGTGACTAATCTGTGCATATTAAGGTTGGCATGTTTATAAATAATGGGATTGTCAATAGGTTTGTGCTGAAGTGGTGGGATGCCGAAAGTATTGCGATTTGCAGAAGTAAATTCATTTTTATAACTGGCATTTAATCAACTTAGCTGTCAGTTTAGATAGGAAACGTATTCTCTGGAGCAAATAAGAGATGGGAATCTCAAGATGACAAATTAATGAAGTAGCTGTTGTCAGGTTAAACTCAATAATATAAGGTAATCAGCCTTCATCGCTATATTAAATTACTGCATTATCAGCTCGGAGAAGTTTGACAGTAAGTCAGATTTCTGACAAGTTTAAATTATTTCTAAATGAGATGTCTATCATGATCCACAGCATAAATTCTAAATTTCTGCCTTCACGTTATTTTTTGCATGCAATTACTTGAAGAATTATCTTATGGGAAAGTACTGTTACTAATTTACAGACATAAATATTTAGCAAAGTCATGCATAACATACATTTCCTATGAGTGTGTATGAATTGGAAGATGAAAAAGAGAATAAAAGTGAGTTATTCCAGCAGAAATAGTGTGGGAAAATGGTAGCAGGGGGGTTTGAGCAGTATGAAGATGAAACCTTGAATTAAATAGTGCATTGTTTGCCCTTGGTGCTTAGAAACCTCTTGGCCAATCCTTTTAATTGTAACTGCTACCTGGCGTGGTTGGGAGAGTGGCTCAGGAAGAAAAGAATCGTGACAGGAAACCCTCGGTGTCAGAAACCGTACTTCCTCAAAGAAATCCCCATCCAAGATGTGGCCATTCAGGACTTCACTTGCGATGATGGTAAGAAAGGCTTGTCTGGGCATCCACCTTCTGGGGTTCACACCTTGGGGGTGATGCTCTTCCGCACGTGTATGGAGCATTGCACATGGCTGTGTGTTTGTTGCTTTGTTGTTGCTTTGCTTCATTGTTTGTTTTGTTCCTTTTCCCATATTCCTCATCTAATTGACCTGTTTTTTTCTGTATTTTACAAATTTTTCTAGTTTTCACTTTGAAGTGGATGCTACGCGTGTAGCTTTATTTTAGCATTTCCTTATTATGCCCAGCTTCTCTTAGGAACTATGCTTTTCACATGAAAAAGGCAATTGATTTATAAAATAGGAAGTCCCATAAATCTGACGAAACTGGTACTTTTCACATTTTATTGTTTTATTTCTCTATCAGCACATTTGATTCTCACAATAGCCTCCAAGAGTAAGTAGAGCGTGTTCTGCAACCATTACCAGCGAACAGAGAGCTAATTTGAGCTTTCTCTGTATTTTAAAATGAGGAATGCATATAACTTTCACTTAACATTTTAAGTCGTTGTGTCTTCGTTTCTGTCTCCTTATGACTCTACAATTTGGTTTATATTTATGTATTATAATTGAAAATATAAATTGGTGTGGGGGCACATGCCTGCAATCCCAGCACTCGGGAGGCTGAGGTAAGAGGGCAGTTGTTGAAAGTTCGAGATCAGACTTCAAGGTGAGTTCAAGGCCAGCAGAGTCTTAGATAGTTTCATTTGACCTGCAAGGACAGCAAGACACTGCCTCAAAAGAGAAGAGAAAAAAAAAAAAAAGAAAGAAAGAAAATATACTGACCAAATAAATATTATAAGTATACTCGTAAGAAAAATTGTTGATGTTTTATTAAACTGTGCCCTTGGTATGTTGAAACTAGTGCTATTAGGGAACATATTATATATCACATATGCATAGATTGATAATGATATATATGTGATGTATATATGATGTATATTGCTTTATGCATAAGTGACCATCATACAGCTCAATATCCGTTTGTTTGATGGCATAAAAACCCTTATTGCCCTCCAATAAAAGCCACCAACCTCAGTTTCTGTGCATTTCTTCTGACAATTTAGGAAATGATGACAACAGTTGTTCTCCACTCTCCCGTTGCCCCACGGAATGTGCCTGCTTGGACACCGTAGTTCGCTGTAGCAACAAAGGCTTGAAGGTCTTGCCGAAAGGTATTCCAAGAGATGTCACTGAGCTGTAAGTAGCACTTTTCTCTCCTTTTCCATGACAATTATTGCTTCACAGGTCCATGACAAGAGATGTCACTGAGCTGTAAGTAGCACTTTTCTCTCCTTTTCCATGACAATTATTGCTTCACAGGTCCACAGGAATGCGGGTCAAATGAAACTATTTAAAATCTTGTTGATAAATTACATTCTGTGAATGCTTAATAATTATTGTGTAAAAATCAAAACCTAGTAATTTTAAAAGCCAATTCAGAGACCTTTGGCAATTATGTTAGGTGTTTTTCTTTTTGCAAGGAAGGAATTTCCAGTGCTTTTATTACCCTGGGGTACTCACGGAACTCCAAGCAAGGGGTGTAAAGTTTTAGACAACTCCCACACTTACCCTCACATCTCTGTTTTGTAGACCATTTTACACTGTTCCAGTGAATTCACTTACAGAACTTTTTTCTAGTTAGTTTATTCACATTGGAACAGGCCACATGGCTAATTGTTTGTTACCCTCATGACCTCTGGGAAAATATCTTACCACACAGGATTAATAATTGCCTGGGATATGAGGAAAGTGGCATAACATTTTATTTAAAGAGAGATACAAGGGCTAGACAAATAGCTTAGTGGATTAAAGTGCCTGCAAGCAGGTTCAGAGGCCGAGGGTTCGATCCCCAGGCCTGCTTGCTGGACCCACCCTCGCTCGGGGTGTGCTGAGAGAGCAATTGAGACTGGGCATCGTGGCACACACCTATAATCCCAGCTCTGGGGAGGCTGTAAACAGGTGGATCACTATGAGTCCGATCTAGTAGTGAGACCCTGAACACCCTGGAGACCTTCCCTAAAATAAAAAAGGGAGACATTAAAAAAAAAAAAAAAAAAAAAAAACCTTGAGCCAGAGCCCTTTTAGATGCTAGAAGGTGGGAGGCAAATCATCTCTGACATTTTCGTAGCTTGTCTACAAATTACCTGGCCCATATGCACAGATCTAGCCCTCTAGATGTCAGAACTTCGACCCGCCCTCCCCTGGCTGCAAACATGGGACACACACAGCAAGAATCCAGCAAATGAACCGTTAGATTACTACTGCGAGCAGACTGCCTCCAGGTCGTTCCGTTATCCGTGTGCTAAAATTTGCCGCGAAAATGCTTAACGAGCCTTCCCCTCAGTCATCCGCCTTTGGTTACTTTTTGCTTTTGCTTACGCGGTGCCATGGAGCAATCATGCTGTAAGTCTCCACTGCGTTGGTGCAGATGTGTGCTTGCAGTTCATTCAGAGGCGTGCGGAAGTTCCAGCTGAGCAGCTCTGATAAAACGCTGGCAGTGTGAAGCTGCCGATGGAGAAGGTAGCACCTCGGCTTGCAAGAGACTCAGTTTTCAAATCACGGAGAGTTCGCAGCTCCTACTTTGCTGCTGAAGAGAACGCTTAGAGGCAGGAGACGCAATCCAAGCACAGGAGCACAGAGCCACCCTGTCCCTTTTGACCTTCCATCAAATGTTCAGTTTCGCTCACTACCAATTACAGCAGTAGGCCCACTCTAGGCATTGCTTTATGTGTCCGTGTAACTCAATACTTCATTTCTGTTTTACTGCAGCAGATCCGATGGCCCCTCAGCTCACACTGTTAGAAACTAGATTGCTGGTCATTCTGTATTCAGTCTTGAGTTTAGGAATGGGTCGGTAGGGAGCATAAAATTCGGATTGTTGCAGATGTCCGATCCCTCTTTTCTACTTCTTTAACTGGCCTGTGTCCACTGATTCATTTGAAAGATTCTTTAATTTCAGTGTTGAATTCCACTGAAGAAACTGCTTGATTCACCTTATGTATACCATCTGTTTCTTGTCGGTGAATTCTCAGCCACTTTACTACAATTTCTGAAAAGTATTTTTTTGTCTGACAAGAAGTTGCTATAGAGATGGAAAGATTATGAACTCATCTCTTCGATTCAGATTAACCTCCCACAAAGCTAATTCTTAGAACTTTTCCAAGTCAGCACGATTCTTGTCACCAATAACACAAATGGATGTACTAGAAAATTTTAGTATGTGCATTATATTAAATGATGAAAGAATTTGGCAAAATGTATATTGCTGGAAAAGTTTTGAGTAAATGGTATCCATTAGTTTCAATCAGCTCCATATAACTTTCCCTTTGGGTTGTTTTAATGTAAATATTGGTAGTACACTTTCTGAAACTTTTTGTCCTCCTGTGGTAACATTTTCTGAAATAAAACAAGAGCGCTGACAAATACAGAATGGTGCTTCCCTCTAGTGGTGCAAAGAAAAAATTAAGTAGGGGAAAGAAAAGGCAAGGGGTCAAAAGAAGAGTGGAAGTCCTAACATTTGAGAAGGCATCACTCCTTATCTCCCTATTGACTGCATATCTTGAGGACTTGGGCCTTTCCTTGTATATGTCTGTTTTCACGTGGAAATATTAGAACTGGACTGTCTGTTTAGGCAGCTTTTTTCCAACTTCTATATCCAGCACAAGTACCAGTTTCCACGGGACATCCCAAGACACCCCATCACGCTGTGCTAGCACAGGCCACACATCGGGTGCCGCAGAATTGCTTGCAGGCATACTTATAGCCAAAGGCCCAGCGTACATTTGGGGCAAGCCTTAGGAGGAGATGAAATTTCCCTTTCTTTTTGTGACACCATATACATAATTTCCAACATTGATTAAAATATCTTGCTGCTTAAGCTGAAAGCCTGTTTCTGATTATTCTTCTGACTACTTAAAGAAAAAGCTTACTTGAATGTGATTATTCACGTGCACACATGCACACACACACACACACACACACACACACTCGCACATGTTACATTTCTGAAGTTGATAAGCTTTATGATGTTCCATGAAATGTCTTAATATTTTAGCGCCAAGACTACATATGGTGGAAAAGCTATTTTAAAATAGTTTAACTTCTAATTATGTTCAAATTCTGAAGTATCTTGCTAAACTATCTATTGTTATTTTCTAAGTGTTTTGGTGCATATTTAGGCAGTACAGAGTTTCTTGACCGTAGGAACCAGATTTTATCACTAGCCGGTAAATTTCATGTATGAGTGCTGCAAAAACATAAGTAAACAGGAAGCTAGTGAAAAATAGAGCTCAGTAGATAAACCTTAGTGTCACGTGAATGGCTGGATCCTGCCTTGCTAAACTAAATAAACCACAGGACTCAGCAGTCTGTCCTTGGTGCTATGATTATGCATAATGACCCACAAATAATGCTACTGGATTGGACACCTATGCTTGTTTCTCATTATTGTTTGAAATAAAGAGTCCAGCTTGGAGAATGATATCTTAAAGAGAAATAATAAATAAATAAATAAATAAATAAATCGACAAAAGCAAAAATACTTCCAAACAATTCTCTGTTTCAGTAAAAGTTAAACATTGTTAATTTATGCAACATTCTCTGTTCTTACTTGATAAAAAACTATAATATTGTTTCCTTATTTTTAGGTACTTGGATGGGAACCAATTTACACTGGTTCCCAAAGAACTATCTAACTACAAGCATTTAACGCTTATGTGAGTAATATATTTTCTACCTTTAGCTTATTCTGTTTCCTGAACCTGGGAGGCACGGGGCATAAGATTTAGTGAGCCTTTCAGGTGATATAAATCATTTACAGTGAGAGGCGCCCCTCCTTGGTCACTGTGGCGCTGGGTCACCAGCTGTACCTTCACTGAATACCAGTTGAGCAGAAAGATGTCTTGGAAAAGATCCCTTCATTCAACAAAAGACAAATAGGATGTAATCTTAGTCAACCATTATGAACACAGTAAAACTGGGCTTATCTACAAAGAAAGTAATCTATGCTAAACTCAGGAAAGAAGGATAGAAAACAATATCTTTTCTTGATCTTATGCAAAGGATACTTTATAGCAGAACTTCATTGACAATATATTAGAACTAGTATATGAAGTTTCTAATGTAAAACAGTATAAAGTAATTTACAGCTAGAAGTATTAAAATTTATTTCATAAAATCTGTCTATATATTTATACTATATATAAATAAACTAAACAAAAATGCTGACATTGTGATAGAAATTTCAAAATATTTAATTTTTTAAAGTTTGGTTGACTGACCTAAAATAATGTCTTTTTTTTTTATATAAACAGTCTCTGTACAGCTTCAAGTTATAAATATAAAAAGGTATTAACATGTACGAACATTTCAATCTAGGTATGTGCATAATATTTTAAGAAAGTTTTAGTCTTGTTAAATACAATGTCATATTTAGAGCAGACTTGATAATTGTGGAAACAGAAATCACATAAAAATCAACAAAAATTTGATAGATGTTAATAGAAAATACTGTATCGGTAGTTTATCTATTTCACTGCAGAGTAAATATGCCTAGTTTTGGAGGCAGATTTGTTGTGTTTATTTCTAATTAGTGAGTTCAAAAACCTAGGAGAGCAGAAAATGTTACTTGTCCCAATTTAAAATTTCCTAGGTGTCCTGAGATTAATCCGCTTCTATCTTAATTTTTCCTAAACTATGAGCAACTGGTCATATTAATAAATTAATAAATAAATAAATTATATAGAAATGATTGAATTATATACATAAATGACAAATTGTTACATTAAGAAAAAAGAATTTCTAGCATTAGTTTTTCAGCCTCCAATTATTTACTTGACAGCAAGAATTGATTTGATATATTTTTTTCTGTTTCTGGGAAGGCTTTTCATTATTTCAAATCAGTTGGAAATAAATGAAATGTACAGATCCATACTTAGCTTTACTAGCCACTCATACAAGTGTCTTGTGCTGAAATAGAAATTAAAAATTTGAATTATAAAGTTCCTTTAAATTTCCCACAATTCTAACAATTCCGTGTCCACTTTCCTGATACTTTGATATTTTAAACCCAATGAATGACTTTAATCTTCTCTGATTCTTCCATTTATTCGAGTTCTGGATTTTGCTTCATAAAAATAGTGAAGCAATTATTAATTAACATATTCATATGTGAGAGTGAGAAAATATAGATGTGTGTATGTGCTGAGAGTAGTATCTCATTCATAGAATATAAAATGTGACATATTATGAATACTATTGCATTGATAAAAATTCAACATCACTTAATTATTCATTAGGTAAGCAATTATTGAGGGCCTACTATGTGTAGAGAGTTAGCCAAGGGTGGAAGCATGACTGTTTTCAATGGTGACATGAGTGAAATTAAATCAGGAGTTCTTCAGCCCTCAGACTGGAGCATCTGTGTTGGTGAGCCCAGGTATCACCCAGAAGACACATGTGAACCTGATAGGATTTTCAAGGACAGTGGCTCTTTTCTCATCCACAAAATGTACTTTATCACGGGTCCCTGCTGAGCAAGCTATCTGGGGAACAGCCCCAGACTTGTGGGTGGAGGAACAGAGCAATTGGTGAAACTTTTCCTACAAAGCTTCTACTCTGAAATGAGCACGTCCATTGTGCCCACCCTTCGTGGACCAGCACAGGGCATCTGACTGCATCGGGTGGTATGGTGTGGGTAGGGCATGAAAAGTATAAAGGACACTTCAGTCTACTCTGGGGACGGGTCCCTCTTCTCTCAGTTGATAGCTCACTGCTAACAATATCCCTGTAACTCTGAACAAAAAGAGTCTTGTCCAGCAATCAGTAGTATTTTTATTTGGATTCATAGTAGACTTCATGTCTTTCTTCTTGTTTTTCAGAGACTTGAGTAACAACCGAATAAGCACACTGTCTAATCAGAGCTTCAGCAACATGACTCAGCTTCTCACCTTGTAAGTGTGAAAGAGGCACTAGCTATACATTAATTCATGGGGCAAAACCACAGTTGGTCTACACACATGGTTCCCGATAAGGAAGACAGATGGCCCTCGGGGAGTGGAAAATCCATTGGGGGAAACAGAGTCTCACCAAACAAAGAAAAGACAAAAGAGACGTTGGATTCCATTAAAAAACAAATAAATAAATTCTACAACAGTAATTGTTTTTTTTTATTTTTATTTTTTTTGTTTTGTTTTGATATAAAGGGAGATGCTAAAGTATTAAGGGAGATCTTTAAGATGGGCTTCTGAGGAATGGAATCCTAGCAAGGGAATGGTGGAGGCAAGGGTAGGAGGTGGAAACATTCTAAATTTTATTTAGGAAATAAATATATTGTATTAGGGAGACCAAGCTAAGGTAAATAATGTATATTATGAAATACTCCCAATTTAGAAAGTTCTCGGATGACCTATCTCTAAACTGCTTTACTTTTAAGTGACATTTTGACATTATTGGATGCCTGAATAAAATAATCATATATGATTTCAGAATTCTTAGTTACAACCGTCTGAGATGTATTCCACCTCGAACCTTTGATGGATTGAAGTCTCTTCGATTACTGTAAGCATCTTATGTTAAAAACTTACCTCTCGGGGCCGGGGCGATGGCTCAGTGGAATAAGCGCTTCCCTGGCAAGCGCAAGGGCCTGAGTTCAGTCCCTGGTTCCGCAAAAAAAAAAAAAAAAACTTACCTCTTCTCAGGGCAGAGTGTTGAGACATCTTTCTATAATTGAACTGCTTTGTTGATTAGCTATTTTCAAATGTATGTATTAGGAGTCACATATACTTGAAAATAGACAAATTGTATGGCAGACTTGTATGGGCAATGTAATTTCACCTTTTGTAATATTTGTTGCTAGCATAGTCATTTATTTGACATTATGTCACATTAAATCATATATTATGTAACTAATTATTTTTTAAATATAGAAAGC